TGGCCCAAGTTAGATCAATTGTAGTCGGGCTTGATCGTTTGGTCAGGAAGGTGGGAACTCCTTTTTGAGAGATGATTTTGAAGCCATTTCGACCACAGGTTTTGATGAGGAATTTGGATTTGGAATGAGAGTGGGGATAGTTGGAGGGATTCCAAAGTTTGTTGTGAAGATTTGAGTCTATGAAAATGAAGGATGGGATTTTTCGATCGTTGAAGTTGATTAACCAAGAGTCAAGTTCAGGGAGAGCGTCGAAGTTTTTAGGAGGATTGTAAACGTTGATGAGTCGAATTTTTTGAATGTTGTTGATGTTGATGTCGATGTCGACAGCTGTTAAAATGCGGGAGCCTCCTGGAAGAGGATGGATTCGATCCAAGCTATATTTTTTATTAATCAAAAAACAACAGCGATGTTTGTTTTGATAAGAAGAAACGGAGTGGTTATTGTCAAGCAGACAGAGCCAATTGGAATGAAATGGAAGGTTAAAAGTGTGGGGGTTAATCCAAGGTTCTTGGAGAATTAAGATTGAGGATTCTACTTCGGTGTTGAGAACACTAAAGGTGACATCGAATGAGTTATGGCAATTGAGCTGTAGAATTTTAAACAGTGGTTCTGAGGATTCTGATGAAGATGGCGAAGGAGAGGAAGGGAAAGAAGGAGGAGAAAAAGGGAAAGCTGAATTTGGGTTGTTGTCGTTGTAATTATACATGATTAAGAATGTTTTTGCGGAGTGATTTGGATTTTAAGGGACACTTAATGCTGGTGGGGGAATGGCGGAAGCGGATGTTGTCTTCATCCACTCCAGTGGGAAGATCGAGGCTTTTTTCAAACTGGATGCACTTGACACATGAATCTCTGTTGTCATCAGAGGTACAATCTCTAGAATTGTGGTTATCACCACAAAGTTTACACATTGGATGGTTTTTGCAGAGTTGAGCGGTGTGGCCAACTTCAAGACATTGGAAACATTGTAAGGGAGACTTCTTATAATGGGCACCTCTCAGGAATAGGAACTTATAAAACAGACCACCTTTCTCAACTTTTTGAGCAAGGTTTTTATCAAAAAGGTTGATAATCAACGATCCATGGGATTGTTTTTTATTGCGCGGGTCGCCGAGCCATCGGATAGAGAGAATATCTTTAGAATCGATATTATTTTCTTTGCATAATTCCAAAATTGACGATTGATTTGGAAGGGGTGAAGGAAATCGGCATTGAATGGACAATGACCGGGAAGGAGGAAGGGGGAGTAGGGGGTTGATAACCG